GGGTCCTCAAACTTTTTAAACGGGGCCAGTTCACTGTCCCTCAGACCCGTTGGAAGGCCGGACTATAGTTTTTAAAAAAAAACTATGAACAAATTCTTTTGCACACTACACATATCTTATTTTGAAGTAAAAAACCAAATGGGGCAAAAACACCCAGAGGGCCAGGCCCGCGGGCGGGCGTAGTTTGAGGACTTGAGGACGCCTGGGAGTAATCAACAATTTAAGATCCAAAGGGCAGAATCTGCCCAAGGCCAGGTTCCAGAGGGCTAGGAGGGCTCCTTTCAAAGAGGAATGGAGACAGAAACCAGGGAGGAAGTGGGATAAGTGATGGTACGTTGAGGGACTGCAATAAATGGACTGAAATCTGTTGAGTGTGAGACTGATTTTCTGCTGTGTAAACCTTCACCTAACTCACAATAAAAGAAAAGTATGGGTGATATTTTGAGACATAAATACAAATGGAATCTTCTTGTTCAAAACTTATATGAAAATATCACAATAGATTTCTTGACCCTCATTTTACATTTGTGGAAGTATTTCAAAGGACATTTACTCAGATTCCCATTTCATAGATATTTTCTCAATCATGCTTTCAGAGAGGAAAATTTCCATCTGTGGCATTCATTCTAACATCAGTGTTTTTGTAAATTTCCTACACTTCCAAATATTTCTCTCTCAGTCTATACTGAACTTAAATCCCTCAACTCCAGAAAACTTCTCTGTTGCTTTCTGTGATTGGTATCCCAAAGGAATCTCATGCTATTACTGTGGTTACTCGTTAATCCATTCTTCTTCCACCACACATCTCTGAGAAACAGTCATTCAATTGGAGGGTGTAATCTGAACACTTCCTGCTTGGTTCTCTGTTAAGGCTACCAGGTGAATGCTAATCATGAAATTATCATGCCTCACCTGCTCAGAGGTATGTGGAAGGAGCGCACCAAAGGTGTTAAGCACCAGAGTTTAAATGTGAAGACATGGCAGTAATCAGTGCTTTTCCGTCATGCTGTTTATGACCCATCAAATCCACCTAGTAAAATCCTATGAAAATGAATCTGAATCAGCTTTCCATCCACTGATGTGTAAAATGCAAAGTACATTTTCCCCCCCGCTTTATGCTTGATTTCTTCCTTCACCACCTTAGCGATAGGACCGTGAACTTGCTGGCTCATTACTCTCATACTTCTCAGTCTCATTTCTGTAGTTTGAAGTAGAGAAGATAGAGACTTTTCCTTTCCGTAGTATTGACACATCAGGAAAAATCACTTCGACCCCTTTCTCTCATTGGTGTCCAAGGTTGGTGTAAGGAGTTACATGTCTGACGACTATCCAAAAGATTGGAGTTTCATCACTTCTCAGCCTTTGGCTAAGATCAAGTATAGTATCTATTCTTATCAGTTTAATATCTGATATGTCCTCTCTTTGAGGACAATATATTCAATGGATTTTTGAAGCAGGAAGATGGAATAGGAGCTTGCTCCGTCCACTCCACTCATTGACCTAGTATTGACTTTGAGGAATGGTGCACCCCCCTTTTGGGGAAATATTAAAAATAAACAGGCTGGATGAACAATCGAGGAGAAAACAATGGGACTGACAGTTCTGGGGGACATGGGAGAAGGGTAAGGCAGGGGAAAGGAAGTGGTGTTACAAACCTGGGACAAGGGAATAACAAATGAT